CCTACTCCTGGGTAGAGAAAATCCTTTGCAGTGACACAGACAGACAGGGAAAATGCCCTTGGGGTTTGGTTGTCAGTGAGCTGTGCGTGAGCCAGCAGTGAGCCCTAGCACCAAAGGGTGGCAACAACATCCTGGGCTGTACAAACAGAAGTAGAGCCAGCTGCACAGGGGAAGCGATTGGCCCCCTTTACTCAGCACTCCCTAGACTGCATCTACATTACTGTATCCAGTTTTGGTCTCTCTATATGAGAAAGATGTTGATCAATTGTAAGGAGCTCAGTGGAGGCCACCAAGCTGGTCACAGGGCTGAAGCACTTGCTCTATGGGGAGATGTTGAAAGAACTGGGCTTTTTTGGTCTGAAGAAGTAAAGACTTCAGGGAGACCTAACAGCAGCCTGCCAGGTTATGGTTATTGAGGACAGATGGACTCAGGCTCTTCAGTGTGGCTCCTGGTAGTGGGCTGAGAGAGAAACAAGAAAGGTTCAGACTGGCTAAAGGAAAAGGTTTTCCTGACCCTGAGAACAGTCAAGTAGAACAGGTTGTCCAGGGAGGCTGTGCACTCTCCATCTCTGAATGTTTTTCAAGACCCCCCCTGGGTAAAGGCTGGAGTAACCCGATAGGACCTCATGGCTGACCTTGCTTCAAAGGGGAAATTGGACTAGCTGACCTCCTCAAATCCCTTCCAACCTTAATTTTCCTGTGATTCTGTCATGTGTAAAATAACCATGTTTGCCAAGTGATAGCACCAGATCTCAGCTTTTACCAACCACTAAAAATTTCGCAGACTAATTACAGTTAGTCTGCGAAATTACAGTTCTGAGGTTTTGAAAAGTGAAGTACATAATTGTAATATGAAGACTTCTCTAACCATCGTGGATTATTTTACTCAGAAAAATAGCTGTGTGATTTGCCTTGCATCTATTTTGTCCTGCAACTACAACTGTGCTGCAGAGCTCTGCTATGAATCAATACAAATATTTTTCAAGATCCACATAAATTGTACAAGCATTCTGAAAATGAAAAAGGGATGAAGGGGAGAGGGCTTTACTGGATTCTCAGCGCCAAGGCTGATACAGCATGCTGGACAGCTTTTCTTTTACCTTTAGCATGAGAAAAAAAACCACTGAAAACCAATGCTAGAACAAACAGGACCATTACTGATGTTTTTAACAGAAACAAACCTTCACCTTGATTTTGGATTTTTTTTGGTGCAATGAACATGATAAAAGATGGAAAATGTGTCTTTTGGGGGCTGCTGATCATTGATACCACCCGCAATAGTATAGATTCAGACAAGAACACAATATTCACAACAAGCACATACTCTGTTGTGATTATATATATGACCTTTGTATTTTAGTTAAACTGATGTACTGATCCAAATATCAACCAAAGTTACTTCACAAAAACGGTAAGTGTATTTACACAGTGAATAAGTTACATAGTTGTCAGAATAAAAGTGTCTCAGATGTGCAACAGATTTACATGCATACATTTAACACTGGACAGCAGTTAAATGTAAGAAAAAAAACATACAGGTATGACTTTTATATATACATCTCTTTAAAGAAACTTAACATGAGAACTTGCATTTCACGTTAATATTTTTACTTTTTATACTCAAAAGTTATATTAAATAAAAATATGCATGCATAACAGCTCAAAAGTTTTGACTCTGTGATGGGACTTTCTCCTACAAAATGGCAAGTTAAATTAGATCAACCATCCTTTAACAGTATAAATTATTCATAAAAGCAACCCTCTAGTAAAAAGCAGCCGAAGTCCTTTAAAAAAAAAAAAGAAAATCTACCAAAACCATTCATGATGCCTGGGGGCCTAAGAACAGACCTCTGCAATATGATCCAGTACCTTCAAAGACAGTAGCCTAGTAACATTAGGAAACGTACTTCATAGCAGCTCGTTGTTTTAAGATACAGTAATCATATTCAAATTGCAGTGTACATTGAACTGTAGTCCATTTACGATTTGTTTCATATACACAGGCTCTCAGCTTTTGACCAAACAGTTTGCGAGATTCTGTGGCCAGCTTCATTCTGCCCATCTTTCACTCAACCAAATAGGAGAAAAAAAGGAAAAAAATGTACAAGGTTTTTTTTTAACAAAAAATATTATTTTGTGAGGAAACATTGCACTTCTGCCAACCTAAAATTAATTTGCTATAAAGGAAGTATTGTTCAGTGTAGTAGGCTTTGGTATGCAATGGAAGTCACTTCTTCAGTAGTGAGTTGCAGTTGCTCAGTGAAATGCTGATTTTTGTGCAACAGAGAACAAAGGATGTTGTCCCAAATGCTCTATGCTACCTTTGTCCTTACAGTATTGCTACACATTTGAAGTTCAGCCCGTATCTTTTTAGAAGAAATCCTAAATGTAACAAGAGTGAGTACAGTTTGACCAAACCTTTGTAAGGCTGAGAAGACATTGAGCCACCTCACTCCAACAGGGCAGCACTCCCAGCTTGAGAGAGGACACCAGAGTCCTGTCAGAGACTTGTGCCGGAAACGCTGGAGTCTGGAAGAAAAGTATTGATGACCCGGTAACTCTGAGCTCTGCGAATCATGTCACGGATCTCTATATTCAGTTCCATTAATTTGGTACAGATTTCAGTCAGGCTCTGGTTGGAGCCCACCAGTGCGTAGGTGCCCGTCTGACCCAAGGTTTGGTGCCGGAAGTAAATGTTCAGCAGTGTCTGGACTTCGTCGTCAGAGCTACTTCCAAAGATATCATTGGGCCACAAAATCCTGCAATCAAACAGGAAAATAATGTGTGTATCATTACAGGTTTATTAGCACAGGCAGCAACTAGGTGACAGAGGTCTCTAAAAGGAGAACTGACTCACAGACGCTTGTAAGCCAAAAGCAACTCACTGTTTTATGCTACTCATTTGTTACGCAGGCTCTCATATCAGGCACAGAAATCACATAAAAGTACAACTCCTATTATCTCAAAAGAAAGTTTAAGAAAACTCATTCAAATAAGTGAAAGTGAACATGTGCTGAATGTTAGCTGATGCCAGTGACATACACCTGTAAGGAATTAGCTCTATAAAAAGATTATTAAGAGCCTCACAGAAGTACTTTCGATCTACACAATGTAATTAAATACCTTCATTGTTGCAAGCAGACATGTTTGTATTACTGATTTGATATCATTACTTGTGGCACACCCTGAAAGGGCTAATAACATCAATGCCCCCATGTACCTTGTTGAAACATATTAAATTAATTATGCTGACCCAGCACATTACATTTAGTATAATTAGGAAGATAATAAATGCATTTTATTCTATTAACATGAAAGTCTAATAAGAGCCATGTAGCAAAACTTGCCTGCATTCTCTTATTTGTCGGACAGCTTTAACAAGTTCATTGTTTTTCAGACATTCCAGCATGGACTGAATAGCTGCTTCTGTAGAATTGAATGTGGGCTCAGATTCTGTCGTCAGAGGCTCAGCTGCGATTGCAGCAGTAGCATCCTTAAGATTTTTCTTCAACTCACTCAGCTCTCTTGACATATTTAACAGCTGTTCCAAGGCGAGAGATGAGAGATGGGTATTTTTATTCTCCACAGGCACGAAAAGCACTAGGTATTTCAGGTTTGTTCTTACTGCTACATTGTATGTACACATTATGGAAAAGACCCCATTTTAACACAAGGACATTTCTTGATCTCTGTGCTCTGTACAATATAGGGAAATGCAAACCACATATTAAAGCTTTGTGCTTTCTTTAACCCTATGCTGTATTTTTGGCTTGCTAAAATGGCAAGAGCACATCTAAAGAATCTTTTATTTTTTACCCCTCCTACTTTTTTAATACCATAGTGGAAAAGTTTAAGAAAACATATACTTCTCCTAGCAATGATGTTGTTATTTATTTGCAAAGCACATGCAGGATCTGATATGATTAACAGATGGACAGGAATTGCATAACCCTCTGTCAGGCCAAAAAGTTAATATGGCACAAGACTCTTAAAAAATTAATAAGTGAACAGAAAAATTCTAAAGATCTACCTTTGCATGTTCATATGTGCTAAAAATAACCACTGTCACATGGAACTTCCTTTAAATAATAGCTTATGGCTCCAGCAAAATATGTGAACTTCATTACGAAACAGCTGTTCCTCATATTATTGTTCCCCAGTTCCATATATTTATAACTATCTAACAAACTCATAACTGTGAAATGCAGTTACAGAAATCAATCCTCTTATAAGGAACAGAAAATACTTCTAAAATTCAGAGTGCTCTAAGACTGGATGCCTACTGTCCTGTCTTCTCTTAAAAGTGAACAGCCCAGTCACATTATGAGCCAGCTTTCGGAACAGTTCCTTAAGATACAATAAGGATTCAAACTCTTTGCACTGCTACAGCACATGTGACAAAACAAACCATTTCCCTTTATAGAGAATCTGTAAGCTATAGAATCTGTCATAAAATACATTTTATAGCTTGAAATTTTGTTTTACAGCTATAAGCAATGTACAGTAACTTGTATCCCTCAATAGCTTAAAATATATACACCTTACCAGGAGACAAGTATATATATGGAATGGCAAGTTATTTTACTGTCTTTCCTTAAACAATGATCATTCAACTTGAAGTGATCACCTCAAAGGTATTTCAAAGTATTATATATTTTATGCAATTGCTGAAAATAAACTTGACTAACAGTATTGTTCTTGTGAAGTGTTTTTTTAAAGTAAGATACATAGATGTATCCAAAAAGTGGTTAAAAGTGATAGTGTGCCATGTCAAAAATATTTAAAGAAGAAAGCTTATAAAAATCGCAGAATTAACAAGACTTATGATATTAAGGTATTTAATTAATTAGCTTTTAAAAATAGATTTAATACTCTTTGGAAACATTAAACTGATTTCAATTTGTTTATCCAGAGAACAAGATCGGGTGGTTCACCTGCAGTCAAAATATAAAGTAGTTCTACACTACACACCTTTGCTTGCTCAGTTGTGAGGATCATGAGAGGATGCAAAACCATTTAGTCGCTGTTTGTCAAGAACTGCTGCAGACATTTCTAGTACAATGCACATGCAAAGGAGACAGTTTATATGTCTGGAAATTACAATAATTTTTCCAGCAAAAACCTTAATTTTGCATCCATATTAGGATTAATTTAACAAATTATTTTGTTATTGTTATGCTAACAAGTGCTCCTGGTCCAAGTGTCTCCACAAAGTTCAGATAGAATCAGTCATGATCCAGGAAAAGGATATTTTCTGTATGTGTGAAGAAGGCTCCATTTCTTTACAAATTAAGGCCTCAATAAAAACAAATCACACCATATGAGCCCTCCCTACATGTAAAGTACATGAAATTAAGATTCCATATATCATTCTGGTTTGTTACCACTAACTGAAATGTCTTTCGAAGACTGAATGTGTAAAAGATCCCCATTTTTGAAAGTACAGTCAATTACAAAAAATACAGCATCTTGACTATATTTTAATGCAGATTAAATGTGCATTAAATGTGCAGATGCTGGTGTACTGGAGGGTTTTGTCTGCAGACTTACATTCAGGGTGAAATAGTGTAATCTTTGCTGCAAGTCTATGTAAAGAAAAATAAGAACATGAAGGTAAAGTAGGTTTTTTTTAAGTATAAGACTTTGTAGCTTGTTACATACCTCTGGCATGGAACTGACTTCATGCACTTGTCCGATAAGTTTACAGTAGGACTGAAAAAGCAACAGCAGCTGGAAATGCAGTTTATATAATCTCTGACACAGTTCCAATTGCTAAGGAAAGATTTGTAGGAGAAGAAATAATAAATAAAGATCAGTGAGTTGGGATAATTTCGGTAACTAATAAAACACACTGAAATAGTTCAGTTCTTCAAAAACATTATTTTACTGAAGTATGATCATATACTATTTCAGAATACAAGTAACATTCTTTCTTCTGGAGGTAAGTCATGTATGACATTGACAATCAAAATTAGAATGGCTAGCACCAATCTCAAAGCAGTTTATATAGGTTAGCTTCACTGTCTCCAGTTTGCAGCTGGAAAGCAGAGGCAGAATATGGTGGAAATTACTTTGCTACATAGAACACAAAACTCTATAAAACTTCAGAAATGGTCAAAGACCTCTTCTGAGAGGACAGAAATCCAAGAATGAAGCAACGAAGAAGTTGTCCAGGAGGGTCAAAGCTCCTGCCTGCTTCTTTGAGGGAAGAAGAAGAGAGGCAATAAATCCAGCCAGGAGTGGGAAGGATGAAATGCCAGCTCTGCAACTTAAACCTCAGCTCATGGATTTTCCACCATCTTAAAGAAACCATACAAGAGATGGACAGCGTTTAATGTGTAAGAGGACATCTGGCTTCTATAATTTATTCTCCCAGATTAAGCAGATACTGTTCTATGAATATTAACCTGTTTCTTCCAGTGTAACGTGCAGCACCACACAACAAGTGTCAGACACATTGCAATAACATGCAACGGGCACGTCTGCCAGAGAAGTCAAGTTAATATGCTTATGGTCCTGCTATCTGTGTGTCTGTCAGGTAGGGGAAACTTGCAGTTCCACAGCTGGATCATGGTGGGTAAGGGAGGAATATTTAATCTTTAGCAAATTATGGAAGAAGTAAAAGTTCTGCCAGTACAGGTCAGGAGGTCTCTGAGCCTTTGGCAGGAAAGCCTTACAGACTTCAAATCACATGTGATTTGTCTTCTCTTACAGACACAGTGATGAAGGGTGGGCTCAGTGATCTTTCCATTTGCTTGAAGGAACTAGAGCCAAGTTTCATGCCAACCGTGTCAGAAAAGAAGATGCAGCTAGTAATGTCTTTGCTTCCTTAAAGCACTTCATACATGCTCAGCTACCAGCACGTACGTCAGCTATTCGCTGAATTGGGGTCTGTGCAAATGCCAGCACAAATACTAATAAAAAGTACTTTAAAAACATTATAAACATTAATTTGACTGAAATGTTTATTTACATATGGTTGAATATTTAAGTGTCAGGGATTTTATTAATAAACCAAAATTAGAACCATATCCTTAGCGTTCCAGTTCCCAAAATTTCTGTAGCAGCCAGACAAGGCTGAGGGGCTGAGGTCAAAAGAAAGGTTTGTTGGCAAATTTCAGCTTTGTCAGGGAGGGCTGGACACCAACCACCCATCTATGAACAGCCAGACAAAGGCACTGCCAAAAACAGGTAGAGCTGGTCTCCTTCTGAAGGAGGTTTATGGAGGAGAGCGGGAGCAGGAGGAGAGCACCAAACCAGTGGGGGCCTGGCAGGGATTGTCCCACTGACTGCCAAGCAGCCCTGGCCTGAGACCCTCAGCCTTGGTCTGCCACAGCAGCAGAGCTCAGCACGGTGAATGTGCCTGGTCTGAGCTCTCCGCTGTTATGGATAAACTGTTTCTGGTTTCTGAGTCGGTATGTTTAGTGCTTGTTACTGGTGAGCAGGGTCAGAGTGTTCCTGCCCTGGATGGAAGGGAGGAATCCCACCAGGCCTCAGACGACAGCACAAGACCCACAGGAGCCGAAGGGAGGCCCAGCAGATCTGCCGGGCAAAAAGGGGAGGGAATGGATGTGGGACATTCTAGGACAGAACTGACTTGCAGGCAGAGACAAACGTGGCCAAGAGAATGAAGAGCAGGTATGAGGGATGCTGCCCTTTAAATAAACCTGCCCAGAGGCCGTTGTCTGTACCTGGGGCCATGCGGCACTCCCTGGCTTGCATCTGTGTGGCTAACCCTTCACCTCCCAAAACAAAGAGTGACTGTTTAGTTGCAACCTCCTGGAAATGGCTCTGTCTTCTGTCTTCTCTCAAACCATGCCTGGGCATGTGAGAGGCTGGGCAGTTTTAGGGGCGGGCCAGCCCCCCAGCCACAGAAGGTGCTGACCGTCCACCCCCGACACCAGCCCGGGGACATGCGCTTGCTCCCAGGTCCGGTTGAGTTCACCAGCAGGGACACAGCCCGAGGTTCGCCAGTAGGGATCAAATTCACTTTATTTAAATTTTGGAGAACTGGCAATGCTACTTAGCAGTCAACACACATACAGTTGAAGTTGCGAATGAGTTAAAAATTAATTGAAAACCAGCACACAGCATAACATAATTAAAAAAAAAAATCTCATGATAGCTTGGCATGTAACACACAATTTTTTTTAGTCCTTGGAGAACAACAATTCAGTTTCACCCTTCTGGTTGCTAACATGAATGAAGACAAACTAAAGACAAATTGAAGACTCGAGTTTGAGTTACCATAGCAAGCAACTCAATTTTTGTTCTTCCTGAGTAAGTATTAGGAACAAATAATGGTGAAACTATTCATCAACATGTAAACAAAGCCAATTTGAAACGTCTGCCATCCATAAATTATAGTTTTTCATTTGGACAAATTGAAAATTATGAATTTTAAAATAACAAAAAAATTGATCTTCCACACCAGCATATTATATCCATTCAAAGGCTTGATTATTAAAAATTTATCCAAATGACCATTTAAAACAGCATATGAAGGTGTCAGAATTTTGGAACAGTATTTTTAGATTTCACAAAACACACCTTAGTAAATTATTTTAGTCACCACATGTAGAACCCCATATTCTATAGGAAAATTATAACGAAAAAGGAAAACATGCTTAGAAGTAAAACAGTAAAATTGGGGTGTATTAGTCCATCTACAGATGGACAAAGAATATGAAAGAACTTCAACTTACTGCAAGAGATTCCATTTGCTACACAGCAAGCATGGTGCAGGAGAAAAGGAAAGGAAAGAAAGTATAGTGTCAGTGTAATGCATGCAATAGGAAGCACAGCCCATCTTTAAAAGCATAACTTGTCAGCAGTATTAGCAATGCTTGCCTCAACCTGATAACTGGTTGGAAATATCACATACAACATGCACAGCATTCTTAATAAAAACAAGCTTTAATTCTAATGATAAATTTCAGTCTAAATATCCTCAGCTAGATCTTCAGATTTAATAGTTTTGATTTATCCCACTCAGTAGCTCAGGAACTTACAGTGAAATTGTGCTAGAAAACTCTTGAAATAATACTTTTATTTAAATGTGCTTTCTTTGTTATTACAAAGAATTGGAACTGCAAAGCACTCAAAAAAATAGGCAGGGTTTTCAAGTGCTGAACAGAACTGAACTTTGTTATTTATAAATATTTTGTTATTTATAAATACTTCTATATTTGGACATAATAGAGCTAATTAAATTTCCAGGCCAAGTTTTGTGACTGCTGGGTTTACTACTTGGCACATTACAATGGAAACAATTTGCATAAAACTTTTAAGTTATAATTATCCTAAGAAAAAAAAAAATCCATGGAAAATGCCACTTTGGTTTCACTACATGGCAATGCCACACGTTCAGACAGCTTTATATTCCTTCCTCTCACCAGTAATGATTCACTGATTCGTAATTCTGAAGCTATTAAAATGTCAGTGCAAGTCCTGTTGCAATAGTAATAAAAATTCTCATTGACTTGTATTAGCATTTCAAAGATTAGGGGTTAACTTCTCTCATAAAAAAAAAGTGCTCCTCTTTTCTTTGCCAAGAACTAACAGTTGCTCTCTGCATGTGTCTAATGCAGCTTCCCTTATTATGTATATATAAATTACCTTCTCATGACATTTTAGGTGAACAGAGTCCTAATGTAAATGCTATAACTAACAAACACAACGACATCTGCCCAGTTACAGCCTGATGTCAGTGCATATGCATGCAGCATTAATAAACATTTGGAATCCTTATTAAAATCATTTACCTTACCATTGATAGAAAGGTAGAAAACACAGAAATGTGAAATTATGCTAACTTTGTATAGCCTAATAAAGTATTTCAGTCTGTCTTTTTTCCATGGGCCTTACTGTCAAACAAATGTGTTCTAAGTATTGTCTCAAATCCTGCACTACTCTTTTATGAAGCCATGACAACTTTAAGCTCTTGTCATATTTAATTTTATGCCTTTAACATTGCTTGAATAGTTTTTTCTTCTACTTGGTACTTTAAAAAAAAAACCTTTATATCTTGGCTGCCATGCAGTTCACGTAAATTAAGCTTTATAAAGCTGAATTCAAGATAACAAGAGGACAAGAGCAGACAGATCATGGTGCTGTAGTAAATTCACAGGTGTGCTGGCTTGTGCTTTTCAAATCTTGTTTGTCTCTGACTTAAGTGCCTCTGAAGTTTAGCATGCCACCAAGTTTCTTTTGGACTTTCAAAAATATTGTAATCCACATATAATTTCTAATTTGCCATGGAATTTACTTTAAAGAAGAGGGGGGGAAGGCAGCAAATAAGTGAATTCCATGGTCTTTTTTTCCAGAAAAAAACTGTTTTCTCTGTACTGCTTCCAAAACCAGGGCAAGGAAAAAAAAAAAAAAAAAAAAGAAAAAGAGGTGGGGAAGGTGTTTCACATTACATGAAAACCCCTTCTTCACTGAAAGAAAATATACCTGATACAAAATCTCTGATACTAAACTACTGATGCTCAAGTCCATGTTGCTCTAGAATTTAATGACTGCAACTTATTGTCTCTCTTTCAGCATAAAATGAAATATTCCTTGGAAGTTGAAAAGACATTTCTTTTAGTCCCCAGCAGCAAGGGCTCAGGTGGCATGATCCTAGCCTTCACTTTTCGCAATTTCTAGTTTAAGTCCTATAGTAAGGGAAGTGCTGTTTTAGATTAGTGGTTTTGGCACAACTACACTACACAAT